AGGTCTCATCTATTAGATCTGCAATATTTTTTGCGAAGCACTGTCGTTATGCTCACTGGTCTGTAAATGGAAATTCTAGGGCAACATACGGTTTTAAATACTGGACCAACTAGAGCCCTGTTTGCCATCGTGAGGCAAGGTATAATTTTTTGTGCTTATTTCAGTCAATTGTGTCAAGTATGTAATCATCGGTTCCCCTCCAATTTTTAACATTTTTCTGGAGAAACTGCCAAATTCTACGGATTTATTGCACCCAATATTACGAATTCTTAGTCTAATGAACAGTTATTGTTCTTGGAATTTTTCTACTTCAGTTGTTCTGAAAGTATTGGAATTGTCCGATCCTAACCCGAGTACCGATTTCAAATGTTTATTAAAGCATTCGACTTTTCCTTTATATTTTTGAACACATTTTTCGTTTCCGTGTTTAAGAGTCGGAATAGAGTATTATATTCCATTTTTACTTTCCCTTATATGTTTGTATAGACGGAGTAAGACGCGAAATCTAGAGAATGTTATGTAATGCTGCGAAATATCGATTCCAAGATTTTAACGGAAATACACGTTTTGGGGTCCCCTGACACCGAAAAGTCGTCCGTCCGTCAGATTCGTCCGTCTGTCATTCTGTGAACATCATTAGCGCCTAAACTATACATACGATATTTTCCAAAATGGATATTACCTGGTTGAACTGGCTCGACTCGAGGCGTCGCAATTTTGAAAATCCTTCTTGAAAAGTTTTGAGTAATGAAGCCTCTTTGGTATTTCCAAAATTTTCTCAAAAATTCTCAAAATTTGTCTTTTAAATTCTTGTAAAAATATAGTAAAATAGCTTGATAAATGTGCACACGTCAGATTTTGACGGTTTTCACTTGATTTCTAAAAATTGTAAAAGATTAAATATTTTCCTAGAACTACAAAATTTAGTTTGTTTTTCCTTCATATAATATTTGATGTTCATAGTGAGTTTTTTCATTAAAATCATGTATATTTTTGTATAAACTTTTAGTTGTTTTCGCGCAATATTTCGTGCAATATTTTCAATTTAAAAAATTACAAAATAAAATTTTCTTAAAAATAGCTCAATTTTTTCTTAAAACTTTTGCTAGAGATAGTGCTAATTGCACCCTATGAGATGACATAAACGTCATATTGCTATATTTTTTGTTTGTTCAAAAATTACAATATAATTTTTTGACATGTTGTCTCTCAGGTCGTTAATATTTTTATTAGCTGCAATTTGATCACATTATTACATTTAAGAAGATGTGTGCTTTAAATGATGTATTATAAACTTTTTGGAAACTCAATAGTTGTCTGCGAAAACAGGTTCAAATTTCCGCATTTTCAGAAACGCTTTAATGCCATTTTTTCAAAAACGGCTCCAATATTTTCGTTCAGAATTTACGAACGGATAGTACTCATAGCACTCTTTAATATGACGTAAATTTCATTTTGAGAATTTTTTACGATCTCAAATGCAGTTATTATCCCATTTCTAGCAGTTTGTGAACACTATTGTATTTCCGAGTTAAGGTGCTTCAAATGACTTTTAATGAAAGTTTTTTCGAAAACTAAAACATTTTGTGGAAATAGAGCTTCAAATTTCGAAATAACAGCAGCACTTAAACCCCATTTTCTTAAAAACGGCTCCAAATTTTTTAACAAAAATTGATATTGGGAACGAGATTCTACTATTCTCTAATATTTTTGAAATAATATTTCCGTTCTACTATTAGGAAACCTAAGATTAAGAAAATTTCAAGAAATGTACTTTACCAATTATTGGAAACTGATTTTAATGTAAAAACTGTGTATGTGTATTAAGAGTGTTTTTTTCATACTAATTGATCTGTAACAGCCATTCCGGTCCTGATTTTGTCCAGTTTCGAGGATACTTTGAGCAAATACTGCAAATACCCTTGCTTGTTTCTAGTCAGTAGAGTAAATAATTCCTACAAATATCACTCACGTTCCATCACCGAGTACAAGGCCATGCACTCCCTAGGTGAAGTTTGTTGTTGTTGTTGTTGTTGTTGTTGTTCTTTTTCTTCTTCTTCCATTTCTTCTTCTTCTTCCATTTCTTCTTCTTCTTCCATTTCTTCTTCTTCTTCTTCTTCCATTTCTTCTTCTTCTTCTTCTTCTTCCATTTCTTCTTCTTCTTCCATTTCTTCTTCTTCTTCTTCTTCTTCTTCTTATTATTATTATTATTATTATTATTGTTGTTGTTTTACTACTCCTACCCCTACTACTATATTTTCTATCGAAATCTCGACTTCGCTACTTGTGTTTCAGCAGTACATAACTTCCTCTACACAATGTGTGCGAGAAAGTAGAAACTGGTACTAAGGCTAGTCGCAAAATGAGACGCGGGTCCGTGACTTGACTCTTGACGAGCTTCTGCGTACCACTGTGCTTATCGAACCCGCGCACGTTAGAGCGCAGGGTGACATGTCGCCGTTTCTGCTCGTGGGGGCCCTGCGGAGCGCAGTGTCTTGCTCGCAGTTGCCTGCGGAGATTTGCCGTGACTCTGCTGAAGGCGGAAGAAAAACTTATAGAAGCCGTGCATGTCCGTAAGGTTTTTATGAAGCACACCACGATGAGCTGTTTAATAAAGATAATGAGGTGTTTTATAAACCGTGATAACTAGAATTCTTCAGTTTCCAGAAGCTTAATTTAAGATTTTTATTTTAATTTAGCTTAATTTATATATGCAAAAAATATATGTATTTGTACACAAATCCTTGTTATATTGATAACTAAAATACTATAAAATAAATAATGACTTGCTGTAAAAACATTGCTAGTTATTCCTAGGTTCCAATAGGCCTTACGACATTGCAGCTTTTTCTGCAAATTGTTGATCAGCTCATGCACTTCTTTGAACTGATCACAGTTAAATTTAAAATAGTTCTGAAATTTGTCATCGTCAAATTCCTTAGTTACAGCAAATTCTCCACCTGTTTCTCTTTTTTCTGCACGCAATCGCTCCTTTCTTCTTTTTGTTCCAACAGATCGGCGTAAAACTATTCTAACTCGCTTTCGCAAAATGATTCAGGACTCAAATCCACTTACGTAGCGGAATTACTTAACATCTTCGTCAGCGCTTGCACCGAAGTGCTCTGCGGCCTATCTTGTGGTGATCGCCGCTGTGACTCACTCTGTCGTGAGGAATTCGGCGTGAGTCACGCTGCGACACATTTGCAACTAGCCTTAGGGCTTGTGTATTGCTGGCCAGAGAGGGCGCGGGAACGAGGGACGCCGATTTAACGTTCAGTCGCGGAAACCAGAAGCGACCCTAATACACTGCACCGATAGGGCGTTGGCAATAGGCAGGCAGCCGTGCCAGAGGCTGCTCGGGCTAGTAGGAACGAAGGCCTATTTGGATCGGGGCCCCACCTGGCGAGCACTCTTGCCGTAGGCAGTGCCGGACCTTGACAATTTTGGGTCAGGTTTGGGCCCGGAGCAATTCTGAAACGCAGCCCCTCTCCCCCACTCATCTACAGCCCATTTAGGTTCGTCCCTTTTCCCATAATTCCAATATTCCCATTTTAAGGCCGTATGGCAACTATCTTGCCGTCGATTGAATGATTTGACTTATGTTCCGGGCACCTCGATTTCTATAATTCTTAGTCCCGTTGATGTATTGAATTGAACTGATTTAATGCCTTATTTTACGTTGCGAGACTCAGGTCATTAGGCCTGCTCTTCCGCCTAACCACGCAAATTTCGCTACGCTCCTTTCACCAACTAGCAGAGAAAGGAGGTATTTCTAGCAAGTAAATCTACTAACATGGGACAGCCGGCTTTACTTCCCCTCCGAAAGAAGGCGCACGAAGGATTTTTTTCGCCCTTAAAAATCCACGGCGTCAATCGGGTTTGAACACGCCAACTTGTACAACAGTCCGAAACGCTAACCGTTACACCATCGCCGCGCGCATGTAGGGAATGTTTCAAAGGAGGTGGGTGTGTTTCTCCCTGGCAGGAGGTGCGGTCCGGCGCGACCTATTCTTCGGCTTGTGGAGTATTTCTCCTCTCCAAGTCACTCTTAGACCTGCCAAGACCTCACAAATCACCCGCGGGACGCCGATCGCCATCGGTAAACGTCCCAACTGGTCTTTTACTAGGCAGTCCGGGTGACGCCGCGTCCATGGCGTAGGTGCCGACGTTTCGGTTTCACTCATTAAGGCATCGCTCTGAGGAAGGTCGTAGAATGGCGACCGAAACTTCGGCACCTTCGCCATGGACGCGGCGTCACCTGGACAGCCTAGGAAATACTGACTCCGACCGCGGAAGCCTACGCTCTCACGTCCCAACTGGTCGCCCTACTTATATGGTACTGTATTGCATGTGGGCGTGTAAGGAGAGTACGACAAGCAAGACGAAGGAAGAACGCGAGCGGTCCGTGACCCGTTTGTTAGGGTACTTTTCCGTCATTCACCTGGTTGATCGGAGAACTCTCTGAAAACAACCGTTCAGCCGGTAGCTAGAATTCTCCCCAAAACTTTGGCAGAATTCGCCCTAGCTTCATGACTTCTGTTGAAACTCCGCCAACATCGTGACTCGAGGCGTAAGTGGTCAGACACTGCAGGGCCAACAGCTATTGCAAAGGGCCATCTCAGCCAATTTCACTTTGGGCATGGTACTAGCTTGTTATATCATTTTATTTTATCATCCTTTCATAATTCAAGTGTATTGTTGATGACCATGGTTGTAATACAGAATGACAGTTTCAAAAGCAGTTTTCTACATTCAAATATTCATAAATAAATAACTGCCATCGTGTACAATTGAAGTCACGAAAGTAAAGTCACAATCTCAGTGGAACGAAATTCAGGGTTTAGTTGATGAAAAAGAAATTGAAAGAAAGGAAATGGATGACAAAAAAGATGGGTACACATATTTAACTATTTGCTATCCTTTCCACATTGCACTAAAATACCGTAGATCGAGCACAAGAAACGCCATGAATTAAAGTCATTAAGATAAAAACAAAATTTTAAAATTGAACTTTATTTATTTGAAATCCAATGCAAGCCTATCCTGAACTCAAATAGGACATGCACTAGATTTTGTCACATATACCAGCATTGTTTACCCTTCATCAAATATACATTATACACGTTCCATGGATACCAGGCACTTTTAAATGTTCAGTGATATTTCTATGTTGAATTCAAGACATAAATATTTCACAATTTATCACAGTAAACTTAAAATAATTATGGTAACTGTAATTATGGTGAATATGGTCCATTTAACATCAAGTATTATAAACACAGTGTGTTTGAGAGATATACTTTCTTTAGTCACAATTTACTTTCAGATAAAACCAATTGCTCAACTCTATATCATAAGCAGTCTGTGCACAAGGATAGTGAAAAATTTTCAAAATTTAAAATTTTTGAGTTGGTAAAGAAATCTCTTTAGAAAATAGTATATTTTTGCTACCTAATACCATTGTCACAACGACAGTTGACAATAAAGCCGGTATATGTAGAAAAAACATTATCTTAAGCCGTGAAATAAATAGCTTTGCCAAGATTAAATATGTTATCCGGCAAATTGAAAATTTTTGGAAAGCCACTTTTCTTCTGCACCGACTTTTTGTCAGTAATATATTCATCTATTTCGTTTTTAACATTGAATTATGAGAGTATGTCTGTCTTTATATATACACTTCTGATCCGAATAAATAGGTTATTCTTAATTGAAATAATATCTTCCAATATATTTGAGATCTTGTGTAGAGCACACTACATTGATGTTCCATCAGACTCCACCTAGAAAAAAAAAGAAGAATACTGAACAAATGAAAATACCCTTGCCAATATTTTGAAAGAGAAAAAAATAGACAAAAATATGTGAGTAGCGTTGCTTACACAACATAGAGCGGAGGTACGGAAAGGAGTAAAGAACTCAAGAAAACGTACTTCTTCCCAACAAGGCTATGTTACAAAGTCATACGGCAGTTACCAAACGTAAACTAGTTTAACGTCATGCAAGACGGATGAGGTGTACAGTAGAAGCAAATTATTTTCCCGGGGCCGCTGAAGGTCGAAGGCTCACTGCTGCTGCACCGTTTCAAACCACGAACTCGTCAGTTTATGGAGAGCTCTGCCTTTGGCAACAGGTGTTTATATGTTTGTAGGCTTCCGCGGCCGGAGTCATTGGATACTTGGTTGAGTCGCGTCTGAGTCGATCGAGCTGACGTGTCGGTCATCGTGTTTTGGCCTTCTTCAGAGCAGTTGTGGCGTCATATCAGGCGCCTTGTACAAACGTGACAAAATATTAGCCACGTGCATTTCATGCTCATGGACAGCGCTGGCGGGAAGAGACGCCGGGCTGAGCAATGGCAAACTTAGGGAGCGGAAGGGAAGGGGTGCCGTGTCGTGGGTGGCCACTTGTGAACCCCGTAGACCACTTGCGGCAAACATGGGAAACCCGTGGGCAGGCTATCTGCGTAAACGTGTCGGCGGAAACAGCGAGATGACGCAGTTCCGTCAGCCGGCCAAGAAGGTAATATAAACGGACCCCGGACCTAAACTCCTGATTCTTGGGCGCGTCGGTAGAAAGTCGTGTGGGTTGTGCGCGGCGCTGCATGTTAATGCATAGGCCACCGAGGCAGGGAACTGAAGCCGGCGTGCTACGTCGAGACGGGAGGTGCGGCATACTCGCTTGTATGCTCACGTAGGCTACTGGTGCATCACACCGAATATGATATTTAATTATCGAGCCAGCGGTGGTGGTAACCAGGGAACATTCCTTCTAGTAACGGCTCAATATTGTTATTTGTAAATATTGTACATAGTATTCAGGTGTTGGAGCATTTTTATTAAAATAAATACTTAAAATTTACAAACCGTTCACGTCTGTAATGTATCCTTGCCTCGGCAAGGATGCCACACAGTATAGCTCTGAAGGAGGCCGCAACACGATGGCCAAAACGTCAGCCTAGTCGACTGAGACGCGGCTCAACCCGGACAGCCAAGTGTCCAACAAGAGTTTATAGCCCTCGCCCAGATGTGTGAGCATTAATCCTGCACTCCCGTCTGAGCTATGCTTTCCACGCGCGTTCACTTCCGTTTTCTCGCATGGAGAGGGGCACTTGTACATAGTTCTTGGGTGCACCCTGTCTCCGTGATGCTCTCGCGCAACACGACAAAGCGATTACTGCGATGCTTACGGTTCTGAGCAAGTTGCATAATAATGTCATTCAGAGTCGGTAGCGTAGAGTCGTTAAACGTGTATGGATTCATGAAAAGGGAATCGGAAGGTGATAAAAACGTTAAAATGGTTTTACGGCTACGTACTAAGAGAGATCTATTATGAGTCTTTCCGGAGAAAAGAGAATGAAGTAAATTTTCTTGACTCGCGAAAATGATATACATTTTCAACTCACAATGAAAAGGGAAGGGCGTGAAATCTGCTCTGCACATCAATGCGAATGTGATTTCTGCACTGCGAGCAATTTCTATATCACTGACAACCCCCCCCCCCCAAAAAAAAAATATTTTAATGAAACTAAGCAAATCGCGTTGCAGTGACTAATGTGTTTGGGCAAGTCAGAAGAGTGATAGCGCGCTCCTCGCCACTAGCAGTTTCCCCTTCTACTCACGAAACGAAGTGGCCGCGCTAATAAAAAAAATTTCTACTCTACAACGACCCACCAATGATGAAGGCGGATGAGACTGTGGCGGGAGAATCTTCTCCCTTGTAACGAACGTGAAGTAACTGCCTTAATTCCGTGAGATCACGGCAAATGGCAATATCAACCTGCGAATAACCTCGTATTTATAACCTCAGACTAGAGTTTCAAAGTTCGAGACCAAAATCCTGCCTTCCGGCTATGCTATTGATTGTAACTAATAAAAACGGATTACCATTTTTATTTGAACCACAAAAGTCCTCGTCCCTGCCTCTCGTTCTTCGATTTCAATCACCAATCTCGGCACAACGGAGGTACTTGTTAGGTCCCATTCACAATGCAAACTTAAACGGAAAAGTATGGTTGCCGGAAAACCCTGAAATGTGTTTTCAAGCGAGACAAGTGGCGGATGTTCCTTAAGGGCTCGAGGGGGGCACCCTCGCCAGAAAAACCAACCTCGGGAGAAGTTGCGTAATGTATTAAATTTTAAATAAATCGACTCCGTTTAATTTGTGCATTCCACCAGCGCAATGTTTGAGGACGTATTTTGTTTTATGTGTCCGCTTAAGCAAAATATTATTTTGAATGGTTTTAGAATATGCCATATCGTGAACCAACGCCAGTCCGTCCGTAGTTGGTGCGTTCGTGACAATGGAAGCTTGAGGACGGGGGGGGGGTACTGGACAGAAGCAGCGAGCTGCTATTAGTGTTTTGTTCGGCAGATTCTGCGCCTTTTAACGTGACTAAGAATACCTGGCCTTACCATTCGATTTCATTAATTACTGTTTTCTTTGCTGGAAATATTTTTTAAATTTAAATTCTTACCTTCGCGCGACCACAATTGTATCTTCTGTTACCAGCGTTAAAATTGTCTTAGACAAGGACTAAATCTCGATGCGAGCTAATCGGTTGTATTTAATGACTTAGTTTTATTCCTTCAAGAAATATTTGGAAGAGGTAAACTATATGTGTTAATTCGAACATATATACTGCCTGTGTTAATTTGCAACCCACCGACCGCCCCTGAGCGAGACCATTCACAAGGCCCTGATTTAACTGTAGACGTAAATCCGTAAACTTAGAGCTCACAAGCCCCAAGCTTTTGCGCATAGGCTTATGTCGGAATTCTACCGGATACCAATCAGAGAGCAGCATGAAAAAACAGTTGCACCACAAAATCCGCTAGAATCAAAGTGAAGGTTTATTTCAGATTGTGTTCAAGTAGTTGTCTATAGTTGTGTGGTGAACTAATTTTCAAACGATTTGGTTCACGTGTGCGAGTTATATAAGTTGTAAATTCAATGTAAGAATTTGTCCCGTTTTTCTTTTAACCAACTTAACACGGCAAATAAAATGATTACGTTCGACAAATTACTTATAGCCCACCACTTTGACAGCTACTCCGACACACAAATAATCAAAATAGAACTACAAAAGTATCCTTACACAACATTCGTTTCAAAGGACAGTATACGAGTAGTAAAAGCGATCCGACAAGGTATTCGGTCATGAAACGACGTAACGGAGAACATTCAAATTTTTGCAGTAATTTATTTAGATCTCTCACGCCTTGCGTATTAAATGTATATATCATGTTACATACGTTTCTCACTACCCCGTGTTCATTGAGAAATTCCCCTCAAAATCCCCTCACTACTCAACCCCTCCACCAATTACGAGTATTTCTCCCTCACTTGAGCGGCCCGAAGTGCTGGTTTAAACGATTTTCTCACTGTGTTCTCTACTTCGGCCCCATTGGGAACGTAGTGTGGGAACTTATAGAAAAGAAGCCATTTATGGAAAATTTTATTGACCGTATGCGTTATGGGATGAGAGAAGAGTTGATATAATTTTCAACAAAGAAGGTAAGTCTTAATATAAGTAATGCTTATTAGGTTCTGTAGCATTCATGGTCAGCATTGTTGAAGCTGAGAAGGTCGTTGGTAGTTATCGAAATGCAACAAGGAGACTATTCGTATTTATTGCCGAAAATGAGCATGCGGAAAATGGAATGGAGTCGGCGCGCGTTCCGATTTCGACTCCCCGTATTGATATAAAGAAATAAAGCTTATGAGTGTCCAAGTGATTGACAAAGGTCCTAAATTCGTATGTCAGGGATGCATTTCACATGGACTTTGACCGCCAAGGCTCTCAGAAGATTTAAAGAAATACTTGCTAATGTAATGTTAACATAATCAAAATGTATATAGTTAGGTAACAGCGTTCTATGAATAGATGTTTAACGTAATTAACAACTTTTAGTCACATTAATAAATTGCATGAACATGGGCATATTTTATGTGCCTAATTTTTTTTAGTGAAAACCTGCATGCATATTTTTCAGTTTTTAACAGCATATGAATGTGCTTCCGTATATTACATTTCGGCAATTTCTGACGCGTTCAATAGTCGAAAAATCTAAGACAATTTTTAACAATTTTGTGCAAGTCCGGGAGACAATTTTTCACACGTTGTTGGAGGAAGTGCGAATGTGGCAGGTGCGAGAAATTTAAATCGCCTCGTTCAATTATCGAGCGCCGAGATCCTTGCCGCTGTCACATTTGCTTCCTGCTCTGGGGCCCGAAAAAGGGATGATACGGCATTTGACTGGCTCGAGTGTTATTACTCACATCGTGCATCTCTCTCGGAAAATTCAACCTTAATATTAACTCTTCATTGTAGAGTGTTTGTTCCACAAAGTCAATGTGACGAAGTAAGGCTCCTCTTGAAAGAAATTCTCTTTTACAACCGTTACATTTCCAATGCAGATGTGATTTTGTTGACTGATGACATCTCCAGAGTCTGTAATGAAAATTGTTGCATTTAAAATTAGTATTAATTAGCAATTAATTAATTAATGAAAAAACAGGAACTGTGAGACGTACTGTAGGGAAAATGTATTCTGTGAACATTATTTTCTAAATTCTGAAATCCCTAACGTAACCCGTATACAAGTTGAATTCTGGATACACATGAAAATACGCGTTTTTGGCAAGAATTTGTAAGAAAATATTCGTTCCCGTGTAATAAACACCAGTTGCAAAAGCAATCCACGATCACCTTTCACCAATATCCTATCACCTCCTAATTCATTAATAAAAATCACACTTCAAGGCGTAACAACCGTTGCGTTAT